AGTTCTTTGATTTTGAGTTTGTGAATGCAGGTGCCGTCTAAAACTGTCTCTGCGTATTCATGTTCTCAATAACCTCATCTTTCATGTGATTCAAGGTTAACTCAATTAATATAATTTAAATATTTTAATTATTAATTTTCAACTTCGTTATAGATAAGTGATCTATAAATTCTAAGCAGGTGATATACCTTAATCTTCTACTTGCTAGCCTTCCTTCACCCCTAAACTTTTCCTTACCCACAAAAAAAAAAAAAAAAATCCCTCATCTCTTGTCCTTCTCTTTCCACTTTCCAAACTACATCAGGTTTTGCAAATTTATGGTTTTCTTATTTTTTGGCCAACCTGATGAACATTTAAGGTTGAGTTTTAACGTTTGTACATAAAAGAGATTATTTATTTTGTTTTTCAAGTGATAAAACATAACATCGTACAAGTTTGAATCTTTATTTTAACATTACCAAAATCAAAATTAAGAAGTTACTAACAATTCAATATTTGTTAAAAAAAAAAGTTACAAAGCTACTAAACAATTAAATATTGATAATATTTCTATTCAAAATAGGCTAACCCAGGCCCTATAGTTGGTTAAGACTTAATTGAAGGAAAAGAAAATCTTAGGACTTAAAAGAAAAACCTTAATTGTGCCCATGAGTCGATCTTAGTCTAACAATCTCCATTTGGTTGCCGTTATTTGTGTGAATTGTTTATAATTCAATTTCTTGGCTATAAAATTTTAAAACAAATATTCAAAACTCTAATTAACTTGATTAAATTATAAAATTTTTTGATTTTATTCAAGAGTTCTAAATTTTTGAAAACCAAAAATTCAAAACCAAAACCATACTAAACAAAACTTAAAGTTGAATGTTTTAAATTAATTAAAAATTGAGTTTAATAAAATTGAACAAAGGGAGTATATATTTTACATAAATGATATGATCAAAATACTAATACTTCAAAAATTAATGTAATTATTCACAATAGACCCAATAAAGTCTTGACTTTATTCTTTTCATCAATGATAAAATAGCTTTTTTAACAAATTGGCATCTAATATAAGCCATTTTAACAGAATTAAGAAACTTAAGTCAACATTTTATTAAACAAAACCTTGTATAATAAAATCAATAAGTTTAGTCCTTGAATAAGAAAAAGTTAAAATCCGAGATTAAGACCCAAAAAGCTTGACTTCTTAATTAGTAAACTTTTTAAAGTTGGAATCATTATTGTACTATTTCTCTTTAATTCTCATAAAAAGTATGATTTATTGAGGGGGGGATTTGGCGTGTCCCAAGAAATTTCGGTATTTAGCATGCATTGATATATCCAAGGTAACATATATGATCTCCAATATTACGAAGCATATCTTGCAAATCAAAACTTTCCTCTCAGTGAATTATATATGTATCTTGACGAATAACATGTAATTATATGTTTACGAAGTTACCTCTGAAAGTTGATTATTAATAATCCAAGTAATGATGTAGCCAAATCCATGAGCCGTGAATAGAACCATAGCCATGTGCCCAACCCATATATGGTACTTAATGCTTCCCTCCGATGTGAGTCCGAGCAACGGCAGCACCGACGAGCCACGCGTCACCGGATAAAAGAGAAACGCTAAGCATATGTTTCCCACAATCCCCAGCATGAATGCTACTGTTTGGAACTTTTTTATCCATCTATCCAAGACCAAATCAATTAGTAAACAAAACATTGAAACGTAAAAAAAAAAAAAAAAAAAAAGAACCATGTACCCTAGAAATGATGACATAAAGGAAACTAGTTTTACATTTTGTGTCCAGGTTCTGCTTTCTCTTTTAAGTTACCCAAACGGATTTTGAGGCCATTTGATAGGGACCATACAAGGAGTGAAATGAACATTATTAAGAAGGCAAGTTCCGTCCAGGAAACAATCCCCAGAGGACCTTTTACCAAAGCCGGTTTCTTCCATATCAATGCCCGCCGGTTACTCTTGCTGTCACTGAAAAAGGAGAGGAAAAAAAAAAATTCACGAATCGGAACAACAGAAGACTGAATCCGAATAATTACGTGGAAACATAGAGTAGCAGGATTATAAAGTATATAATCTACCTTTGAGATTCATAATTATTGTTGTGTTTCTTCACCAAATGGAGGTATATGGAGCCCAAAACGGCGAGAAAGAGCATTGGAAACGTCCAGATCAGAATATTGGAAGCTGGATAAAATGAGTTAATACTGAATTAGACAAATGACATAAACAAACACCCCGAGCAAAAGGACTAATTAAGGAGATGATCGATCGGAACCAATACCTGCGGTTCCGACGAAGGTAGAAGTGGCCTTGTTGGAAATGTCAGTCCGCCATTTTTGGCGGTAAGTGTTGGTAGGCATCATGATCCACATCATGAGAATCCCAAGAAACAGCACCACGAACAGTCCTTTCATGGCTGCCATAACCATCTTAATTCCTCCATCACCACTAGCAGCCATCTCTAGAGATCTCTCTTTTTGTTCCCTTTGGGAGGAATGGTTTGAGGGGGTGTGGAGAATTTTGAGAGACTGGAGAGGTATATATAGTGAGAATTTAACTAGTTTTTGAAATATTGAGTAAGTCGGAACTTTTGTATGACCCAGGTTTCACTTTCTTTCCTTCAATACTAGGGTATGAATTGAGTTTTTACTTTAAAGAATGGGTGGTTTTGTCCCACTTATTTATAAAACTTTCACGTGTCATTAAATGAGTAGATATATTCAATATCATAGATTTCATATAAATTAAAAGAATCAGTCATTTTAATAACACGTTAAATTGTACAAAAAGGTGAAACAAAAAAATTGTACAAAAAGTATTTCTCATAAATAATATAGATTAAATTTTGTAATGAGTAAGGAGAGTTATAAAAAAAAATTATTCAATTTATGAAAAAAAAGTATATATCAATCTCGATTTTCAAAATAAATTGAAGTTTCAATATTAGAGTATATTATTTTATTTACTTAAAATTCAATTCAAAATTTTAAAAAATTATCTTATTAAATGTTAATATCTAAATTTAAAAACTCATTAAATGTTGATATTTAAATTTAAAAACTGATTATATTAAAATATAAAATAAGTTTCCAAATATTGATATCAATATTTAATAAAATAAAATCTCAGTTTCTAAATATAGGTAAAGACTTTAATTATTTTTTAGAATTAAGATTTACACACTAATTTTATAATTTATTATTAAATATATATATATATATTTAAAAAAGAACATTGTGAGCTGCAAAAAAAATTATTATAAAAATTGAATCATGTTAACCTCTTCCACTCTAAAATAACTGTTTTATGGATTAATTAGGTTCTAGGCCTAATGTATTTTATAGGACCTTTGATATGACCTAATTAAGATTAGACTGCTTTTCGAATAGATTTGAGTCAAATTAAAATAATTTGATTACAAATTAATTAATTTTATAAAATTAAAATATTAATTAGAAAAAAACCATAAACTACATTTGAGTATTTTTATTAACAAGTATAACTTAAAATATCTAATTTATTTTTGTTACCTTGTAAGTTTTAAAGTTATTATATATATAATAAATATAATATAATATAATTTTTAATTCTAAATTAAATAGTCGTAACTCATGAGCAATCATAGAAATTTGAGTTCAAATTAATTTGTTTTTTTTTTTTTTATCCAACTTAACTCAAGATACTCACAAAGTACTCGTTAACAATCTTAACGATAATCAATTGAGTATAAGAGTTCAAATAAAAAATGAAAAATGATATGGTTATAATACTACATGGTATTATAAATTTATAATATAATGTTTAAATTTATTGAAAAATTTATTTATAATATTGTATATATTTATTCGTTTATTAACGCATCACACTCAAGAATCTACCCATAATATTATATATATTGATTCATTTAATAACACATTACATTTATTTAATATTATAATATAATTATAAATATACAATTTTACATAATATTGCAATTATAACATTATCTAATTAAAAAAAAAAAGAAAAAAAAGGGAAGGGCATGAGGGGCGGATGCAAGACTGCCGGTGCCTACTATCACTTTAGAGAAACAAGGACAAACCCCTAATTTTAGGTAATATTGCAATTATAACATTATCTAATTAAAAAAGAAAAAGAAAAAGGCACCAAGCCCTTCGGGCCAAGTAGCAAAAGCCACCCATGATGTATTTCCTCCTCCCCAGGCTGGGGTTCGAACCCAGCCTTGTAAAATCTGTTCAAAAAAAAAAAAAAAGGAAAAGAAAAAGAAAGGGCATGAAGGGCGGATGCAAGACCGCATGTGCCTACTGCCCCCTATCACTTTATAAAAACAAGGTTGAATCTCTAATTTGGTTTTTTAATTATTGTATAAATCTTTAAATTGGTGCTTGAACTTAAATAATTTTTAATATGATCCCTAAAGTTTTTAAATTTAGTTTTAAACTGATTTTTCTGTTAAAAATAATTAACGTGTTTATTATTTAACAATTATATTTTACATTAATAACAGAACATGTCAACTATTTTTTAATAAAGAGA